TTGGTTGGTTTGTTAGTTTGCCATTGTTTTATATAGTTAGTGGAGTGTGGGGGTAGTGTGATGGTTGCACAGTAGGCTAGGCGTAGGTAGAAGAAAAGTCCGAGTAAGGAGAGTAAGGCAATAGTTGTGGCTGTTATAGTCAATTCTTGTTTAGTCAGTTCTTGAATAATTAATCATTTAGTTAGGAATCCTGTCAGAGGAGGGAGACCTGCGAGGGAGAGGAGGGTGAGTATAAAAATTGTAGATAATGAGGGGATCTTAGTTCATGTGGTTATCACGGTGGATAATTTAAAGGTGTTGGTTGTGTTAAGCATGAAGAAGATAGCGGAAGTTGTGATAGTGTAGAGATAGAAGGTAATTAAGGTCAGATTGGGGTTATAGTTGAGAATAATAGTTATTCATCCAAGATGAGCGATGGATGAGAAAGCCAAGACTTTACGAGTTTGTGTCTGATTAAGTCCTATTCAACCTCCTAGGGCTGCTGAAGCGATAGCTATTAGGGATAGGCGGGTAGAGTCAAGTGATGGGGAGGTAAGATAAAATAAGGTAATTGGTGGAAATTTTATGATTGTGGCCAGTAGGAGGCATGTTGTTATGGAAGAACCTTGAAGGACTTCTGGAAATCAGAAGTGGAATGGGACTAAGCCTAGTTTGATAGAAATTGCAATTGTTAATAATATGCATGATATGGGATGGGTTAGTTGGGTGATATCCCATTGGCCAGAAAATCATGCGTTGGTCATGCTGGAAAATAAGAGCAGTGTGGATTCGGTTGCTTGGGTTAGAAAATACTTAGTAGAGGCTTCAATGGCTCGTGGGTGGTGGTTTTTAGAGATTAAGGGGAGAATAGCTAGAGTATTAATTTCTAAACCGACTCATGCTGTTATTCAATGGTTGCTTGAAATTGTAATAGAGGTCCCCAGGAGTAAGCTTATTGTGGAGATTAATTTGGCTTGAGGATTCATTAGTAGGGGAAGGGGTTGAACCATCATTTTCGGGGTATGGGCCCGATAGCTTAATTAGCTGACCTTACTAGAGAATAATATAGAGGGAGTATGGAGGATTTTGATTCCTTTAGTGTAGGTTCGATTCCTACTTTTCTAAGTCTAGGAAATGAGAGGATTGGTGTACCTCTATGTTCACTTTATCATAGTGACCCTTGTAGGTTCAGGCACATTTCCTTGAGGTGCCTTAGGTAGGGGGGTAAGCCTGCATACGAGATGGGGAGGCTGGTGTGCCATAGGCATAAGGCTAGTGTTAGGGGTAAGAAGTTTTTTCAGAGTAAATGTATGAGTTGATCATAGCGGAATCGAGGGTAGGAGGCTCGGATTCATAAGAAGCCTGCGGAAAGGAGAAGGGTTTTTGTGGCTAGCGTCAAAGGGAAGAGCTCTTGAGGGAGGTTAAGTGAGTTAGGATTTAGGAATAAAATGGTTGTGAGTGCATTTATTAGTATAATATTGGCATACTCAGCGAGAAAGAATAAGGCGAATGGGCCTGCGGCATATTCTACATTAAATCCCGAAACTAGTTCAGATTCCCCCTCTGTGAGGTCAAATGGGGCACGATTTGTTTCAGCAAGTGAGGAGATGTACCATATTATTGCTAAAGGTCAGGAGGAGAAAATGAGGTAACGGGGTTCTTGAGTTGTAGCAAGGGTGTTAAGGGTGTAGTTACCGCTTAGAATAATTACAGATAGGAGAATAATAGCCAGGGTGACTTCGTAGGAAATGGTTTGTGCGACTGCTCGGAGGGCGCCACTTAGGGCATATTTTGAGTTGGAAGCTCATCCTGATCATAGGATTGAGTAAACTGCTAGGCTGGATAGGGCTAGGAGGAAAAGTATTCCCAGGTTTAGGTCAGAGAGGGAAAGGGTAGAGGGAGGGGTACTCAGATTGTAATTGCTAGGAGAAGGGCTAGGATAGGAGTAGCTATAAATAAATAGGGGGATGAAGTCGATGGACGGATTGGTTCTTTGATAAATAGTTTTACCCCATCTGCTATGGGCTGTAGGAGACCAAATGGCCCTACAATGTTGGGTCCTTTTCGAGCTTTTATATAACTTAAGACTTTACGTTCAACTAGGGTAAGAAATGCTACGGCGATGAGGATGGATAGAGCATAGGATAATGATATGATGAGGTAAGTCAGAGCAGAGTGAACTACCATATGTTTAATGTGGAGCTAGGGAGAGGATTTGAACCTCTGGGTAAAGGGCTTAAGCCTTCTGCATTTACCAAGCTCTGCCCCGCTAGCGGTCCTTTTCTAGGAAGAGGTATATGGTAGAGCTCTGAGTAATTCAGTTGGGTTCATTACTGGGTGCGAAGGCGTGCTTGTGGCATAGGCCTTACTTCTTCGGTCCTTTCGTACTAGAAGGAGTTATAGCATAGATAGAAACCGACCTGGATTGCTCCGGTCTGAACTCAGATCACGTAGGACTATTAATCGTTGCACAAACGAACCCTTGGTAGCGGTTGCACCACTAGGATGTCCTGATCCAACATCGAGGTCGTAAACCTCCTTGTCGATGTGGGCTCTTGAAGGAGATTGCGCTGTTATCCCTGGGGTAGCTAGGTTCATTAATCAATTGTCTTGGGTCTGGTTACTATTAGTACGTTGATGAGTAGTTCTTGGTCAAGATGGGTTGTCTGGTTTTTGGAGGTTGAGTTTATCTCCAAGGTCGCCCCAACCAAAAAATGCATACCAATAAAATCTTAGGGGAGTGAGTCCTGTGGAGGGTTATTGTTTATGGAGGGTGGTAGCAGATTTTAAAGTTCCACAGGGTCTTCTTGTCTTATGAAGTTATTCCTGCTTTTGCACGGGAAGATCAATTTCACTGATTATCTGTAGGAGCCAGCTAAGACCTCGTTAAGCCATTCATACAGGTCCCAATTTATGGGACAATTGATTGCGCTACCTTTGCACGGTTAGGATACCGCGGCCGTTGAACGTATTGTCACTGGGCAGGTTTCCCCTTTAATACTTGGTTTAGCTAAAGGCTATGTTTTTGGTAAACAGTCGGGCCTTGGATTTGCCTAGTTCCTTTTACAGATTTTAATCATCTTTGAGAGGCGCTCCGTAGGTGGGTTAACAGAATCTTGGATATAGGGCCTTGTTAGGGTTAGAAGATATCCTGTGGTTTGTTACTAATGAGATAATGTAAGCTTGCGCCATAGAGGGAGTCCCTAGTTACTTATTTTAGCATTAATTCTCTTATTTATTATAAGTTGGCCTATTGGGGATGAGGGAGTCATAAGAAGGTTTGAATTTTTAGGTGTTGAGCTTTGACGCACTCTTTAATGATGGCTGCTTGAAGGCCCACAATGAAGATACAATTTAATTTATCCGCTGGGGGAGAGTGTATTCTTTTTTAAAGGAGCTGTACCTCCTTTAAATAACCCTTAATTCGTCTCATGAAGGATGAGTGTGGTCCTAGGGGGTGAATTAAGAGAGAACTAAGATTCGTTTCATAGGCAACCAGCTATCACCCAGCTCGGTTGGCTTTTCACCCCTACTAACGAGGCATCCCACTCTTTTGCAACAGAGACGGGTTTGCTCAGTGAATAGCTGCTCGTAAGTAGCTCGCTTGGTTTTCGGGGGGGCAAGCTTAAATTGACGTTTTGCTTGGGAAATTCTTGCTAAATCATGATGCAAAAGGTACAAGGATTAGTCTTTGCTGTTTAATGCTTGGCTTGTCATTGCTATTTCATTTTTCCCTTACGGTACATAATCTCTATCGCGTCTTGAGTTGACCTTTCTATCGCTTATACTAGGTTGAATGAGAGAATGCTTTGATTTAGTGGGCGGCATGATTTAGTTAATACAATTTGGTAAAAGAGCTCGAGCTAGGCTTCAAGGCGATCTGGTACAAACAGATATCTTTCAGGTGTAAGCTGAATGCTTTAATTATAGCTACGTCTTGATAGACTAAGTGCACCTTCCGGTACACTTACCTTGTTACGACTTGCCTCATCTCTAGCTTTAGAAGTCATTATGCATAAAATTAGGCATAGCTTGTGAGGAGGGTGACGGGCGGTATGTACGTGCTTCAGAGCCAGTTTAAAGGAGGCATCATTATCCTGCTTTACTGCTAAATCCGGCTTTTAGGAGTGATTTCACACTTCTTGTCGTAAGGTTTTCTATGTTAGAAAATGTAGCCCATTTCTACCATCTCATAGGCTATACCTCGACCTGTCTTACTAGCGGGGGGGTTGCTATTGTGCTCACTGCTGTACCCTCAGTTTAGGGGTGGGCTGCCGACGGCGGTATATAGGCTGATTTGGCTAGGGATGGTTGGATGTATCGTGGGTTATCGATTATAGAACAGGCTCCTCTAGGTGGGTTTGGAGCACCGCCTAGTCCTTAGAGTTTTAAGCGTTTGTGCTCGTAGTTCTCAGGCGGATGCTTAAGTGGCAAAAGCATCAGGATTTAGGGCCAGGCATAGTGGGGTATCTAATCCCAGTTTGTGTCCTGGCTTTCGTGGAGTTTTGTTGGTCATAGAGCTAAGGTAATTTTATGGAAGTATTAGATGCATCTTATGCTTATAACAGCTTGGTTGCATTTCAGCCTTAGTTTAAGTGATAATGAAAAACCACTCTTTACGCCGTATAAAGTTAATTTGGGTTTCTTGCGTGACCGCGGTGGCTGGCACAAGATTTACCAACCCTGATAAGTTGCTTTAACTAAGTCAAGTTTACACTTATTGCTTAATATTAATTACTGCTGAGTACCCGTGGGGTGTGGCTAGGCAAGGCGTTTTGGGCTACAATCTGGATGGTGTGCCTGATGCCTGCTCCTGCTGTCTTTTTAAGGTATTGAGGGCATTTTCACTGGAATGCGGATACTTGCATGTATATATTTGGCAAGAACTAACTGTAAGGTTAGGACTAAGTCTTTTTTGTCCTGGGGTATGTGTAATAGCCGTCTTAACATCTTCAGTGTTATGCTTTATTGTAAGCTACAAGAACCTAAGTTATTTTGGGTTTAGTGGTTGTTATTGGGGTTTACGTTTTAGTTGTGGAACTGGTAAATGTAGGTTTGAGATTGGCTTGGTTAGTGGATTTTTGGTCGTGGGAGGTGATTTAATGGAGAACAAAAATATGTTGATTGGGGAGTTGGAGGTGTGAGGAGGAGTTTGATTGGTTGTATGGAGCAGATGAGTTTGTTAAGGTTGTATGTTCTTGTAGTTGAAATTACAACGGTGGTTTTTCAGGCCAAAGGTCTTGGATAGAGCCCAAGCAGGAATTGTTATGACGTATTTTATACTTTTTTTAAGTGTTAGTTTTGTTTTGGGGGGGTTAGCAGTTGCTTCTAATCCTTCTCCTTATTATGCAGTAGTGGGACTAGTGTTGGCGTCTATTGTGGGGTGTGGATGGTTGATGAGTTTAGGGGTGTCTTTCGGGTCGTTAGTATTGTTCTTGGTATATTTGGGCGGAATGTTAGTGGTTTTTGTATATTCAGTTTCATTAGCAGCAGATCCGTTTCCTGAGACTTGGGGGGATTGGCGGGTTGTGGGGTATGGTGTTGGGTTAGTTTTAGCGTTGGGGGGAGGGGCATTTATTATAGGGTTATCCGAGTTACGGTGATTAGGGTTGGGTACGGTGGATAGTGGAGGTGTTTCGTTTGTTCGGTTAGATTTTGCGGGTGCGGCTATGTTTTATTCTTGGGGGGTGGGACAATTTTTAGTTGCAGGTTGGGGTCTGTTGTTAACGTTGTTTGTTGTGCTAGAGCTTGTGCGAGGGTTGTCCCGGGGGGCAATTCGGGCAGTTTAGGGGGGAGGAGGTTCAGGAAAGAGTTTAATGAAAATACCAGCTTTGGGAGTTGGTGATAAAGGTTTAATTCCTTTTTTTCTGAGAGGGGAGGGAAGATTTGGGGTTAATCATTGGAGGAGTCTGTAGGTGAGGTGTTGGTTGGGGTAATGAGGTTGAAAGAGGGAGGGTAGGTGATTAGGATAATTAGTTAAGTAGATAGATGAGTGGGAGGAAAATAGTGGGGTGAGTTTGTGTATAATGAACGAATGAACAAACGAATGATGAAAGGAAAATAGTGGGGTGAGTTTGTGTATAATGAACGAATGCACAAACGAATGATGAAAGGAAAATAGTGGGGTGAGTTTGTGTATAATGAACGAATGAACAAACGAATGATGAAAGGAAAATAGTGGGGTGAGTTTGTGTATAATGAACGAATGAACAAACGAATGATGAAAGGAAAATAGTGGGGTGAGTTTGTGTATCATGAACGAATGAACAAACGAATGATGAAAGGAAAATAGTGGGGTGAGTTTGTGTATAATGAACGAATGAACAAACGAATGATGAAAGGAAAATAGTGGGGTGAGTTTGTGTATAATGAACGAATGAACAAACGAATGATGAAAGGAAAATAGTGGGGGGAGTTTAGTTGGATAAAAAATTTTAACGAATTGATGATGCAAACTTAGTTAATTGGTAAATTAGGGGAATGGAATGTTTGTAAAATTTAAAATTTTTGTAAAAAATTTTTAAAACAAAAATTAATGATGAAAAGCGGAAAGGTCCCTAGATCATTGCAAAAATGACAAAATTTTTGTGATTTTTTTGCAAAATTGACAAGAAAAAATGAGAAAAATCATGTCTTGCGTGCCTTAATTAAACTGCAACTTGATGAGAGACGTAATTGAAGAGCCAAGCCAATAGCGCCTGACGGTGAATCAGTGCAACAGCATGAGACCGAGTAGCATCCTGCATACCATATCATTAATTTACACGCGAAAGTGAGCAAACCGCTCGCCGACCATAAGGCGCACACGTCCACCATATATGGTAGCCCACTGGCGGAGCACTCTGAAGGGCTTATTGAGATCTACCCAAAAAAAAAAAACCAAAAGTTTAGAAAAGAGAAAATGCCGCGATCACGAGGTCCGAGTTGGCCAAGCATCCCCAACCATTAGTAACGGAGCGCAAGTTTAGGAAAATTAAGCAAGTTATGGCCCTGACCGAGGAACCAGAGGCGAAAAAGAGCAAGTTATGAGAGCGGGTTTTTAGGGGCAGAAGAAAGAATACACCTGAAGCTGGACATGATAAACATTACTAACGCCGGGTTGCTGGTTTCTCGTGAGGGGTACGATTAATAAATAACCCAGCACTTCTTGGTCAGCGCGTAGAGAAAGGTTAAGTGGTGAGGGGTCCTGAACGGTGGATTCTAGGTCCTGTGACGTTCCTCGTATTGTAAAGGAATTTATGCGA